TGCTGGCTACCGGCAAAGCTAGTTCAATTGGGTCCAGGTCACAGTTTAACCAGGCATGAAGAGCAAGATGGAACAGATACATTGAAGAAATCCCAAGGAGCCGCCTCAGGGACCTAACCCCTTCTGATAGGCCCTCAGGGACAACAGTGCCTAATTGGGGTGACACAAAGAGCAAGGTCCCAGTAGAAACCGTAGGCTAGATGCCTAGAAGCCACTGAGGGACAGAGGCCCACCTGGACGATACAGTGTGAAGAGGACCAATTCCGTAGGGCAGTGGTGGAGACACACGTTTTTATTTTAAGACAAAAGATGTTAATGTAAGAGTTGGTTTTTCTAAACTAAACCTCAGTCTTCAGGTTTAATTGTGGTGCTGGCACATTGTGATAAATAAGTGGGTTTGGGGTTGTAGTTTGGCACTCATCTCTAAAGGTTCCCCACCACTGCCCTAGACTTGTTAGAGCTGAGAGGGGGGAATCCCTGCCTGGGTCACACCAGTGCTAAGAGAAAGGATTCTGTATTTCCACAAATATAAAAGTCCTGGCCTTTCAGAGGCATCCACTTGTGACAGAGTATTCTTAAAATTTACCTTGGGAAATTAGGGTGAATATTAACCTTAGAAATGAGAATATGAAAGTTCACCTAATCTTTTAAAGTCAGTTTTTTCTAAATCAACAGGGTGGTTTTGCATAGTAGAGTCTGAGATAATAAACAGCCTACCAAACCACCAACTTCCTCCCAAATAACCTCTGCCCTCCAGAAAAACTTTGAAAGTCTTGAGATCTTTCTTTTTAGACATTTCTACTACACAAAACTTCCGTTTTCTGAGTAGTTTACATCTTTCGGTATGGTCAAAAAGAAATCCTGGTGTCAATGGCCCTGCTGCTCCTCTTGATACCAAACATGAACTGTGCCCACGAGGATGGCTTAGCTCGGAGGTTCTGGCCATGTCCCGCAGGTCCAAAACAGGATCACACCCATCCTGGGTGCAGTACAAATCTGCTCCACTGCCCTCAGCTCAAGGTTTGTCTTTATTATTTTACTTTTTAGCTTCTAGTTTCATATATGAAAACACAAATGAATAAAAGAACAAATTAGTCTTACACAATTATATTCCCAGCAATCATCAGCAGTGGATGTCAGTGTTTATGTATTCTTGATCATTTCTGGGGCAAGGTAATTTGGAAGGAAACCTGGTTCCTTCTTCACAGTGGGATGGGGCATTGGCTCTGTGGGTTGTTCCTGATTGAGTGGGACCTGGTCCACAGGCTGGATGCTGTGGGGAGGTAGGTAATGTCATTGTCACATCAGGAAAGCATTGCCAAGGACAAAACATATCCCACTTTTTTATATGGCCACAAAGAGACAAAGACCCTCTCTGGAATGTCCCTCCCATGACCAGATGGACCCAGCTTGGGCTGTTGAGTTTGCTTCTTTTGGCTGGACCTGAAGATGACTGGATACAGTCCGCGCTGCTTCCTCCTCTCAGGGCCAGAAGCATCCTGGGATGGATGTCAACCAGTTAGACAAAGGTGACCTCCTGGGAGCTGCTTCCTGAGCACAGCCCTTAACGACCCCAGGGCCTGGTGTATGGGTAGGACTCATGGCTCACAGACAGGTGGGGAAAGAGTACCCTCTCAAATGTTCCTCCTGGAGGGCAGAAACCTTGCCCAGCATCACTTTCCTGCTGAAGGGACAGGGCTGGGGATATGGCTTGTTTTCAGACCTCAACCTTCTGACCAGTACTCCATAATGAGAGTAGGGAAAGGGAAGGAGATGCTTCCCTGAAGCAGCTCAGACACCCACAGGTGTTGGGCCTCCCAGCCCTGGTCCCATGCATCGGAGAGACATGGGCACAGATGACTTTCTGTGAACAAAGGAGGGAAGAAGAGGCTGTCTCCTCACTCTTCTGTTGCTCTGTGGCTCTGTACTGAGTCCCAGATGAGATGGCTGCATGGTGGTGACTTTGGCACATTTCCACAGAGGAGACCAGGCTGCTGTGGGGCAGATATGCAAGTTCACCAACCCACTCTTCCCAGTCCAGATGTGTTGATGTGGTGCCTCTGCCTCCTGCAGAGACATTGCCAAGCAACAAGCAAGTCCCAAGGTAACTCTGACTTGGAAGCAATTTGCAGGAAGGGTTTGAGGTCAGCTCCCAAAGTTGGCACCGGGACACAGCACAAGCGGACACAGACACCTCATTCTGGAGCCAGACATCCACGGGCTGGGAACTTGCACAGGCAGCTCTGTGCTTGTGCAAGAAGACTTGTGCTCTGTGCTCAGCATCATCTCATCCAAAGCCACTCTGGAGCTGTAGCTGTAGGCCAGCTTCATCCCAAGGCTGCCCCATGCCTCGCCTGTCCCTCCTGGGACTCCATAAGGCTCTGTGTTGTCACCCTGTAGCCTCCAACCCTGTCACCTTTCATTGGTCTTGTCGAGCTGTATCTCAGTGTTTGCTCAGTTTTCCATTCAGCTGTGTCTACTCAGCTATTAAATTCATTCACTGACTTTTCCATGTAAATCTCTGTTCATTTCTAGAAATTCTATTCTTTTTCAAGGTTTGTCATTCCTTGTGGAGTTTTATCCTGCACATATTTTCTGTTTTGTCTCCTGCTACTTTACACACATGGCATTTAGTCAGCTGCCAATGCCAGAAGCTGCCAGGTGCCCCCTCTCCCAGCACAGGTGCTGGATACCTCCTCTTTGCACTTTGTGTCCTTTCTTCCCTCAGCCCATCTTTTTGGAACTTTATGTATGAAAATCCTTTGAGACCTGCACCAGAGATGGGGAGGTTTGCTCTGAACCCCATTGTGGACTCAGGGATGGAGACTCTAGGACACAGGTGCAAGCTCAGTTATGCATGCAAACACCAGGCTCAGACAGCACTGTACGTGCTGGCTTCTTTGTGGGTGGGAATGGTGTGCCACTGGCCCTCGTACTATGGACTGAGCTCCAGGTCCCAATCCACAGCCCACCGTGCATGAACTGCATGCCACAGTACAGGGACACAAGCCCTCAGCTAAATGCCCCTGCCAAGCAGGTGAGTAAACTAATGAGCAGTGACAGCAAGTTCACCAATGCTGCAGGAAGCAAGAACGTGTCTGAGCAGCTCTGAGGGCTGCTTCTCATGACAGCACTGAAGGCTCCCCATAGCTGCTGATCTCCTAAGGGATGGCACCTTTGCCCCGCTTTCAGCCTCCTTTCTTGCTCTGGAAGTAGTTTCTAGTGCCTCAAACCACAAACAGAAACTCCTGTCTGAACTTGTCTAGATGTCTGGGAGACAATGGGTCTCTAAATCTCAGCCTCACTGCCAGGAGGTCCCAGGTGGAATCCCACTCCCCACCAATTCTAAATCGCAGTCTGGAGAAGACCTGGAGGCTATCCAGGTTTACCATTGGCAAATTCTAACAGTACACTGCTAAGTACAGAAAGGAAACTTCCCAGGTGAAGCCAGCAGATAATTCTCACAAGGCACAATGGTTCTCCCTTTTTCTTAGGTGGCAATTATCATCCCCAGAATCATCTTTATTGTCAACACACAAGACATTCTTTAAAATAGACTTGACTCCTGGCAAAATCTCTCAGCCTCGCATTCTTTTATACAAGTACCCCAAAGGATCTAAGTGCACCCCAGCAGAACACAGTCTGATCATCAGCCTGAACACTGCAGCCATGGTGCCAATAGAGGAGACTGAGTCTCAGGGAGTCTGGCACCCTCTAAAAACAGAGCTAATTAAATCATCAAGCACAGTGTCTGTTCCCACACAGAGGCAGCAACATGCAAGGATATAATTCAACGGCTAAAAGTGTTTTCAAATCAAAATAGCTGTTCTGAAACCACAGAACCCATAATTCCAGACCTGGGTGGAGCTGCTCCAGGATCAGCTTCATAATGCAGAACCCCAGGAGGCCAGTTCCATCCAGGCAACAGCCCCACGCTCACCACCCTGACAGAACAGCTGGCCACCCCCAGTCTTTGCTCTGTCTTCTCTTCCCACTGCCACCAGCTGCTGTGGCCCCAAGGTGCTGGCATTCCTGTCCCTGTCCCTGCAGGCACAGTCCACCCACTAGCATCTGGTCTGTTAGAAAGGACCACCACTGTTAGAAAGAATGAGTGTCTGGGCAGCCTCCCATGGTTCTAGTTGGTAGGAAACAGGGCTGAGGTCCCATATGCACACACAGCAAGCTCACCTGTCCCAAGACCTGTTACTGGGGGTTGTCCAGGAAAATGTCTCTCTTCCTCAAATGGATTACTGTTCCTGGGTCCTGTTATGACTTATATCCAGACGCCTCCCAAAGCCTCATTCACCCATAAGTGGGGTTTGGGAGGCAACTGATGACAGGGATGTGGTGCTTACCAGTGGACTAGCCCACCAGTGAGTTTGCAACTGACTGTGCTGCTGGGAAGAGGAGCCTGATGGAGGAGGTGGTCACTGGGGTGTGGTCTGGAAAGGTCTCTGTCCCTCACCCCTTTCATGACCTTCTCTCTACTTCCCACTGCCATGCCACGGGCAGCTCTCCTCTGCAATGCCCTTCTGCCATGCTGCCTTGCCTTGGAGCCAGCTGTCTGTGGACTGAAACCTCTAGAAACTTTGTGAGTCAAAATAAACTTCTCCTTTGCATTTTGGGTGTCAGGTATTGTGTCTCAGTGAAGAGAAAGTAACTAAAACAGGTTCTCAATCAGCTAGCAGTTATCCCAATGCCTCACTTAGGTAAGAAAAATGTGAAAGAAGATGGAAAAATGTTCCAAAATTCTTTCTCTCCTACAGTCCCCACTCACCCACTGACCACCAGGGCACTTCACTGCTGGGAGAGGCCCTCAGGGTCTTGGACACCAGGAGCCCCACAAGCACTGGCCCTTGGTCAGAGGTACGATGAGGCTGCCTACCAGAAGCCCCAAGAATATCTCCACCTCCTTGCTAAAGACTCCTTGCCAGCACAACCACTGTACATACAAGATGGGGAAATCCAGGCAGCACTAAGCAAAGCAGTGATGATATTACCAGAGCGACTTCTCCACGATCTTGGTCCTGAAGACTTCCTCCTGGTCCAGGTTCACGGTGCAGTAGCAGTCCCTCATCTTGGTTGGCCCTGGGTAGGAGGGAAGATTTTTGGCTTCACCTAAAAAGTGCATAAGACATAGATCAACTTAGCACAAATACACCTGGTGCCTGTGCCAACCCACAGGGCAAGTGTGACCTGAGTCATCACCATGGCCCTGCCATGTTTGGGTCCAGCTAACCACAAATACATTTCTAGGTAACAGATTTACTTGGAGAAAGGCCCTGCTTCCACCATACATGCTCATTGCTCTCTGAGTCTTGGCTTTTTAGATGCAAGTCAAAACACTGAGGGAAAGTCATCTGTTCCACTGATGTGTGAGGCAACATACACAAGCTTGAAATGAATGGTAAAGGCAGGAAGCAAGCCATGTTGGAACTAAGTATTGTTTGTTTCATTTTACCCACATTAGCCCCTTTCTAAAAAACATTTTAGCTGTGGCAAAACACACATTTGCCCCCAACCACACGGAATATGCAGTTAGTTCAGTGGTGTCAGGCCCTCACATTCTGCAGCTGTCACCACCCACTCACCCAGGCTCAACCCTTCCACCTTTGGGCACCTTAGTGGGACCACCCTCTTCGCAGCCCCAGCATTGCCTGCCTGCCTCGTCTCTGTGACACAGATGACTCCAGGGCAAATGTAAGCCAACTCTACTCCCCTGCACTTTGGGGCAGACTGGTTCCCACTTAGTACACTGCACTGTGTTGCAGCAGCAGTGGCACCACCCCTGGGCAGCCTGGGGGCAAAGCCTTGGAAAGTCGCTGCGCCTTTAAGCAGGGCCTGGTGGGAGGTCCTGACCTTTAGTCATTGGGTCCTCAAAGAGGACTGTGGGAGCCCAGCCTGACCTCCCTCTTCTGCTTCCTGGCCACAAGTGAGCAGCCTGCTCCACTGCACACACTACTTTTTATTGCCCTGTAAGGCCCAGAACAGCAAGTGTCTGGTCCTGTAAACCCAAATGAACCTCTCTTTGTAAGTTAATTGCCACAGAATTTCCTTATAGTAATGGAGAGCTGACTAATACAGTGTGCAGAATTTCCTTCCTTTTAAGGCTGAATGATATCCCATGTTTGTATAGACCACATTTTGTTTACCCTATCAAGTGCCTTTCCATTTTGAACTTAATTTTATAGTTTCAGGTCAACACTGGAGCCATAAACAGGGAGAAGAGCTCTCACTGACAAGATTAGATGATAAATTCCAGGAACTTTCAGCACAGAGCAATTTACCCACTAGGAAAAGACCAGAAGAAGAGCACAATTAGGTTTGCATCTTCTCTCCCACAGGTCCTGCCTCCCCACAAGACCCCATGAAGTGTCCAAACACACTGGGGGGAAACAAAGGCAGAACATGCTGGTCTCACCATACCCATGGGCACCCATTTCCTTTTGCTAGAGAAGAGTCAGTGCCTTTAGCACCTGACCTACAATATGATTCAGGGTAAGAGTAGGGGGACAGGGACAGAGAGTGGTGGATACATTCTGTTTTGTCATTTTTCCTAAAAAATTGTTTTACTTATATACATCTCAATGGCACTGTTCAGTAGTGTCAGGTTGTATAGGAAAAACTTCCAACCAGCAGAGTCAGAGATCAAAACCCAAGTCTCTACAGACCCCAACACTCCCAGAACTGGCAGGGTGCCCCGTAGTCCTTCAGGCTGGAGTCATGGCTCTGAACAACAGCTTACTGTGCTGAGCTTGTTCTGGTGTTTCCAGAACAACATCTGTGGACTTCTGTCTGGAGAAGGAGGGCTGGGTTTCCATCACCCCTCTGTCATTAGGAGCCAGCACACTGGGGCTGAACCTGTGCCCTCTTAACTATCCATCAGTGTCCTATTTCTTGATAAGTCAATTCTGCATATTTCAACCTCACAAACTTTCATTTATAACATCAACATTAGGAAGTCATTTGCTGCTGCACCAAGTGCTTGACAGGTCCCAGGGGCCTCAGGACACCACTGTGGTCCCTGGCATCTGGGTGTCTGGTCACTTTACATCACTGTGCAGCCCTAGCCTGGTCACTTCTTGTCTGGTACTCTGGACGCACGTGCTCCAAAGGGCTGCTCTGGCCAAAGCCTGAAGTTTTTATAAAATCATCTCTGATTTTTGCTGATGCTCCCCTCACACTCTTCCTAGGACTTCAAGAGCCAGTGTGGTAGGAGCTGGTCAGTGTGACACAGGCCACTGTGCACTCCCATGTGCATGGTACATCTTTGTGAAGCTTCTCATGTTCCCTCTATAGAAAGAAGATGGCCACCTCGGCACAGGCAGGGATTCCTTTCTGACCTGACCTGCTCTCTGCAGACAGAAGCAAAAACAGTTTGACTGCAGCCAATGACATGGGGACCCCAGCAAAGGCCCGGGACCTCTATGTCCAGACAGGTGGCTCCCTGTGGGGTGTGTTCATCACAGTATCTCTGTTCCTTTTCTCACAACTGACAGGGACTACAGTGCCATGTGAAGGATAGGCAAAGACTCTGGGGTCTTAGAACTAAAAGACTCAGATGTGGTTCTCAACAGTGGAAGGAGGCGCTCTTCAAATCTCAACCTGACATAGGACCACCATCCAAAATACATTAAAAGACTCCTACAACCCAACAACAAAATGACAGCTGCAGGACCTGCATAGATATTTGTCCAAAGAACATATATGAAAGGCCAAGATGGTGACACATTTTGAAACTGCAAATCAGAACCAGGAGATAAACTTCATACGCATTAACAAGAGCTACAATGCAGAAGAAAAAACAAAGAAAACAAGTGTTGAGGATGTGGAGAAACTAGAATTGTAAATTACTGGTGGGAGTGTAAATACAGGTTCCTCACTAGATTAAACACAGAATTACCTAGGATCTTTCAAGCCCACCTACTCCAAAAATTTAAAACAAGTGTTGAATCAAAAATGTGTATGTGCTCATGACAGCTAACAAGTGGGAACAGCCCAGGTGCTGTGGCTGCATGAACTGATAAATGTAGGAGTACCAGGTTGTCAAGGTGGGTCAGATGCAGTTCCTTATGGGAAAAAAGTGTTCGGAGAGGATTAAAAAGTTTTGCATCTAGAAAGAGCTGATGGTTGCACAACAGGGTAAGTGCATTAGACAACTACCCTGGTAGTGCTCTATGGTAGATACTACCAAATTATAAACTTTAAAATTGCTAAAATAGTGAGTGTTATAGCACATGCATTACGCAATGGTTCTTTTTTATTTAAAGATGTTATTTAGGTTTTGAGACAGGCAAACTCTGGTAAAGTGACTTCAACACAAGAGCACATACCCCACCATGTATGGATCTAGAGCAAGTCTAAATGAACATTTCTTTTGGAATTTTGCTATTTTTAGTTATTTTTCACTTCTGTACTTTTGTGGGTGCTAATGGTTTATATCTAGATGTCCCTGAAAGCCTCATGCACTCATGGGGGAGCTTTTGGAAGGTGACTGGAGACAGAGGCATCATAACTAAATGCGATGTTAGACTCAGGGGCCTGCTTGGGTGGGTCACTAGGGATGTGGTCTGGAAGGGTTTATCTCCCTGCCCACGCCTCCCCTGAACAGCCCTCCTCTTCCAGGCCTTTAGTCATGCCTCCATATGGACTGAAGCCTCTACGAACTCTGAGCCAAAATAAACCTTTCCTCCTTTCAGTTGCAGCTGTCAGATATTTTGTCTTAGCAGTGACAAAACAACTAATACATAGGCTACGTGTAACAGTAAACTCAGCTCAGTGGACACTCATGCATGTGCCCAGCTGAATACTCAGTACTAGAACCAGGACATCCCACCGCCACTCCAGGGCCCTGTCCTTCCCACCTCCAAACACTTCTGAATTCTGAAGCTGCCTGCACTACCAAACCTCTTTTTTTCCCCCCAGTACTGAAGACTGAACTCAGGGCCTCTGTACCGAGCTACATCTCCAACTTGTTTTAAATTTTCAGACAAGTTCTTGCTAAGACACTATATTGCCCAGGCTGAGCTCAGAGTTTGGGTCCTCCTTCCTTGGCCTCCCAGAGGGCTAGAATTATAGGCATATGCTACCATGCCCTGTTCACTTTTGCCAATTTTCACAAGCATACAAATGGAACCACACATTAATTATACTTTCATTATAATTTATAAGTTGAAGAAATTTTATAAGAAGTGCCCTTCATCTGCTTTAGTGGTCCTTTAGTGAGACTCACAAAGGAGGGCAGCATAGACACTTGGTCATTGTCTTTTATGTACCTAGTTCTCAGATAATGACTTAGCTCCCTGTCAGGCACAGGGAGACACAGGATGAGGACTTTTGGTAATTTTGTAATTTTTTTATTGGGATGTAATTCTCACACCACACAACTCACCCTTTTAAAGTATACAACTTAACATTTTTCAGTGGATCACACAGCCATATGGACATCACCACTACTGCAGAGTTCATCACCCAGAAAGACTCTTGTACCAGCAGCGGACACCACCTGTGTCTCCCGTGGCCTCAAAACCTCACATGCATATCTGCCCCTTGGGCCAGCTGGCTCTGGACCCCATGTGCTGGAGTCTAGTATCCTGTGGTCTGTGCACATGGCTGGTGACATAGCACCTGCCTACCTCGTGGTCACTCTTTATGGCTGAATGACACGGCACCCACCCACCCAGACTCATGAGCTGCAGACCTCCCTACCACGAGGAAGAGACAGGAGATACCACTAGGGCCAAGAATCTTCACACTCTGGGGGCCAGCAGGCTACCTAACCTCTCTGAGCCTCAGTTTCTCCATCTGCCAACCAAGTGGCTAGTCATCAGGCAATCCCCAAGTTTCCTTTCAACCCCTCACATATGTCTGAAATAAGCCAGACACCAGCTGTCTCCCTCTTCAACTCACTGAGGTTAATGTGCTGTGTTTTCAACAGCATTCAACAGGCAGTGATAATGACACAAGACACAAACCTTCAGTCCTGAGTGCTGACTGATCTTCCTCTCCACACTGGCAAAATCCTCCCACAAGAAAGGTCCTGCACCATCAGCATCAAGGCCTGGGACACTGCAACTGTGTGAAGGCTGTTTACTCCATAGCAGGCATGCCAGGTCTCA